CCATACATGCACCACTGTCTGCATGAAAAAGTTGCCCCTTAGATCCTGTTTAAATCATTCCCCTTTCACCTTAAACCTATACCCTCTAGTTTTGGACTCCCCCACCCTGGGGAAAAGGTTTTTGCTGTTCACCCTATCCATGCCCCTCATGATTTTATAAACTTCTATGAGGTCACCCCTCAGCCTCCGATGCTCCAGGGAAAATAGCCCCAGCCTATTCAGCCTCTTCCAAAGCTCAAACCCTCCAACCCTAGCAACATTCTTGTAAATCTTTTCTGCACCCACTCAAGTTTCACAACATCCTTCCTATGGCTGGAGACCAGAATTGAATGCAGTATTCCAAAAGTGGACTGACCAATGTCCTGTACAGCTGCAACATGACCTCGCAACTCCTATACTCAGTGCACTGTCCAATAAAGGCAAGTGTACCAAATGCCTTCTTCACCATCCTGTCCACCGTGACTCCACTTTCAAGGAATTATGAACCTGCACACCAAGGTCTCTTTGTTCAGCAATGCTCCCCAGAACCTTACGATTAAGTGCATAAGTCCTGCCCTGATTTGCCTTACCAAAATGCAGCACCTCACATTTATCTAAATTAAACTCCATTGGCCAGTCCTTAGCCCATCAGCCCATCTGATCAAGGTCCTGTTGTGCACTGAGATAACCTACTTCTCTGTTCACTGCACAACCAATTTTGGTGTCATCTGCAAACTTACTAACTATACCTCCTATATTTACATCCAAATCATCGATATAAATGACAAAAAGCAGTGGGCCCAGCACCAATTTTTGTGGCAGACCACTGGACACCAGCCTCCAGTTTGAAAAGCAACCCTCCACTACCACCTTCTATCTTCTACTTTCGAGCCAGTTATGCATCCAAATGGCTGGTTATCCCTGTGTTCCATGTGATGTAACCTTGTTAACCAGTCTGCCATGCAGAACCTTGTCAAATGCCTTAGTGAATTCCATACAGGCCACGTCCATCTCTCTGCCTTCATCAATCCTCTTCATCACTTCCTCAAAGAACTCAAACAAGTTAGTAAGAAACAATTTCCCACGCACAAAGCCATGTTGACTATCCCTAATCAGTCCTTGACTTTCCACATACATGTAAATCCTGTCCCTCGGATTCAATATACTTTAAAACTGAATATTCATAGCCATTTTGAAAGGAAATCCCAATGATTCACAACTCTTTGAGTGAGGCAATTTTTCATTTACTGGGTTATAATATCAAAATCTTATTCTGAAATTGTTTTCCCTAGATATAGATTCCCAGCCTCGGGAAATATACTTTCAGATCTACAGTGTCACGTTCCTTAAGAACTTTACATTTCAATGAAAGCTCTTCTCACTCTTTCAAACTCCAGGGAATATAGGCCTAGTCTACTCAATTTCTCATAGGACAATCCTGTCAACCCAGGAATGAGTGCAATAAGGGAGAGTCCTTAGGTTGCTATCAGCATCTTTCCATCTATGTAAGAAGACATACGCAACAAACTCATTGGGGTGGGAAAGATTCATATACTCCTTAAGGAAAGAGACAAAAACTGTACTCAGTATTCCAGGTGTGGTCTCAATGAGACCCAAAATAATGGCAATGAGAGCTCCTTACTCTAATATTTCAATCCCTTTGTATTTAATTCTAACATGCCATTTGCATTTGTGATTGTTTCCTGGACATGGACATTAATGATCTGAGTACAAAAAGCACAGAAGTTTATGCATGATGATAGGTGGCATCAGAATCAGGTTATAACAATGACTATTAGCCCAGCATTTCAAGCCAGTTTAGTGGGGGAGACATTGTCCACCTCCTTCTGCAATCTGCAAAGAATGTCTGGAAAGTATCTTTTGTCGGGGTTCATACTGAGCAATTGCATGATGCAGGACTCTTGTTCTACTGGCTAATTCCAGAGATGAACATTGAGATAAACAGCACTGCTGCTGGAGGACTGTCAGTTTTGGTGAAAAATGTTAGTAAGGACTGAGTATTGCAGACTGGTACATTCCAGGTTCAGAACGTGGAATGGTGAAAGGCTCCTGTTGAATGTTGATCTGTCATAGCACATGGAAGGGCTAGAAAATGTGTAAAATCTCTATAGGATGGGTCTGGCATCTTTCCCACAGGATGTATTGTAAATATTGGGAGCAATTGCAATTGCATTGCATCAGAAAAATACAAATACTTTGAGGAATAAAGTATATCGCTTGTAAAAACTATTACCGCGACTACATACTCAGGTTCAATAAAAACTGAAATTGTTAGAGAAACTCAGCAAGTCTGGCAGCATCTGTGAAGAGAAAGCAGAGTTAATGTCCAGTGTCCCTACTCTAAAACTGATAGTAGCTAAGAAAAGGTAGAATATATGCTGATGACAGTGGCAGGGATGAATGGGAGAAACAAGTGAGCAGATGGTTGGGAGAGACTGAGTCCAGGAGGCAACAAGAAACTAGGTGTAATTTTATTTTACATACTCAGGTTTATGATTTGGAAGATGATGGCTATTAATGTTACATTGCTTTGATTATATTATGCAAGAAAAGACTCTTAAGTCAAAGAATCACAGAATTGTTAAGGTGTAAAAGGTCATTTGGCCATCATGTCTGTACCTATTACTTAGTCTTTTTCCCCATACCCCTCCACACTATTTCTATCCAACTAATCATCCAACGCTTCTTGAATGCCTCAATTGAACCTGCTTCCATCTCATTTCCAAGCAATGCATTCCACACACGCTGTGTGAAAATGGGTTTTTTTCCTCACCTTATCAGCGCTTCGTTTGTATATCAATTTAAATGTTGCGGGTCTCTAGACTAAATGTACGTTTTTGGTTGGTTTTCTTTGGCAGCATCATGTGTAGGATATAATTCGCGCGGTTAGAGGATGGCAGATGTTTGTGCCTGTGGAACGGTGTCAAGTCGCAATCTGAGGTTTAGTTTCCCCTCAGAATGAAGGAGTAAAAGTATTGTTAGTAGCAAAGGGGAAATGTTTGGCGTGTGAGCAGCGGGGGAGGGGGGCGCACATTTTGTTTCACTGTTTTCCGGATCACTGCCCGGGTAAGGGACATTTTAAGAACGAGAGGAAAAAATGTGTCACTGGTACTTTCGAGCTTGTTTATGTCTTCTTTCCGCTTTTGCCACACGTGTTTCAACTACAGATGAAAAAAAAGGTGAGTAGAGGTCTCAGATTTTTGATTTAGTAATTCGAAAACTCGCACTGACTCCACATTTGCTACTCCCGCACGTTGGATTTCACGCTGCAGTTTCCTTCTGTTTAAATGCTACAGATAGATTACTGTTATCATATAAAATCTGCATTTCCTTTCGTCTTTTCTGTCCACTATTAATTTTACCCGAACCATTAGGTGGTACCGTGGTTTAGTGATTAGCACTATTGCTGTCTCTCAGTGCCAGGGCTCGGGTTCGGTTCCAGCCTCGGATAAGTGTCTGTGTGGAGCTTGCACGTTTTCCCCGTGTCTGCTTGGCTTTCCTCCCACAGTCCAAAGATGTGTAGGTTAGCCATGCTAAATTGTCCATCGTGTTCAAGAATCTGCAGGGTCATTTTTTTATGTGTTTCTGAACAGGCTAGGTGGATTAGCCATGGGCGGATGAGGGGTGGATGCTCCTTAGAGGGTCGGTGTGGACTGGACGGGTCGAATAGCCTGCTTCCACACTGCAAGAGATTCTACGAATCTAATATTGCTGTTCCTCACAAGGTAAATCATTCTGTGCAGTTAATAAGTTTTCTGTCTCTCAGCTTTCCTTTTCACAGGAGAAATAGTCTTGCCAACCCTTTGGCTATTCATTGACTGAAGCGGTGTTCTAGATGTTAGAAAGCAACTCTGTATCCTCTGTCAGATCAGGTGCAGATTTCAGATCTAAACCAACAATACTGGCAATCTTGTTCCGGAAGTAGATATTCTTTAAACTCAATGCAGTTTATATGTTCATACAGAAGTGAAAACATGAGCCTAAAAGTATTGTTATTTTCATGCAAACTGCACATGTCCCCGTTAGGGCACATGTCCCCGTTAGGAGAGGTTTCCAAACTTTTGGCCAGTGACATTTCTGACATACTCCTAAACACGCAAAAATTACCATGCAAATGGGAATTTCCAGTTGCATTTATAAGCAGCAAGGTAGATATTTAACAATGCGAATCGTTGTTACTTTTTCGCCCCATCATTGTTAAACATCAAATCCAAAGGCACGTCCTCCTCAGTAGTTTGCTTATCTGCTGTTACACAAGATAGAACTTGTATATTTACTTCCATCTTTCACCTGCGGCTGGAAAACAATTCCAATCTTGGCGTGTTCCGTAATGGCTATGAATGCTGTCTTTTTAGTTTCATAACGCTGCACGAATTATAAACTGGGACCCCAAGGGTAGGAAATTGATTCTATGCGCCTTATGTGAGGAGTATAGAACAAAACATGTATTAGAGATTGTTTCCAAATCGAAGCCCTGCTCTTTTTTAAAAAAAACCTTTATCATATCTTATTATATAGTTACGATTCTGTGTCACCGCAATAGAAAACTGACTTTTCCATGCTTAAATAAAAGAGATACAATGTTTAAGAAAATGGCTCAAAAAGTAATTACAACTGGCGGTCTAGATGCAACGGTCCGCTTTCAACTATGTTGGACCGAAATGGTTCCATCGATATGAACTGCCGCTACATACACGTGAGCGACCCAGATCCACGCATCAACAAAGGAAACAAAAACAAATGTACCTGTTCGCGTTGTTAAATGTCTATGTTGACCGTATCTCTTCTCGCAATTTGAACCAATATAATGGCATTTAAACTAGTTTGCAGCATAAGCTGAAAAACGTTTAGTCAACAATTAAGATATTACATCTTTCCACAATAAACAATATCACATATGCAATTCAAATCTCTCCATACTACTACTCACGACACATTTGGTCTTTCAAAGAAGTTTAAAAGCCCATTGCTAAGCACTGGTGTCAGATATATATACGTACTCAGAACCAGGAAAAAGAGCCTGCTTGCTGTTTCAAACATGAATTCCAACATTGTGGTTCTACACATTTTATCAAAAACAGGATATGAAAATATATACTGAGATACTCCACAAGTGCACTGTGCCAAGCATTAAAGCTGAAAGTGACTGTGAGTTTTATTTAACCTGTTCATACGTCACTCAACAGGAACCAGTGCAAAGGACTTAGCCCTCCCTCTTTTCAATAATGCTCTCATTAATTTCCAATGAGAAAATATAAATAATAATCTTATTTTTATTTTGCTCTTTGACTCCTGACAAAATTTCTAAATTCAATTTTAGCTTATTTAACAAAAGTTTTTTTTAAATTTCATAGCAAAGAAGCGTATATTCTGCCATTATCTTTCTGACGTTATTTGCGATCAAACGGAATATCTTCAAACATTCTGCTTTACATGGAACATTCAAAAATTAAGTTGATCGAGTTTGATATTAAATTGAAATTCTACAATGAGCCTACAATCTGCAAAAAAAAACTTTTTAAAAAATTTATAATTCTTGCAGTGAAAGCATCATTGACAATTATTTACAAAGTTAATACCCCAGGGGGAAAATTATGGTGGGTCTTTGTTTTGACTGGACAGCAATGATTTGATGCAAATGAGTACATTGTTTGGCCAGAATGTGGGCAGTTATGAGTCACCGTATGAGATTGTAGTGATATATAGGCCAGATCAGGTTAAGAATGGATGTTAAAGAACATCAGGCAACCTTCGGGGTTTTTAAAATCATATTTAATTATATTTACGCATAGTACTTTTTCGTTTTATTTCTATGTGCTTTTGTACACAGGTCCTACAGATTACTAGTTCAGTAATAAGACCATACCATCAGAATGTACAATGAACATACTGAAAGTAAGTCATCTCATGACTTAGTTAAAAAAAAACACCTATGAGGGGATTTTCAGCAATGAAATTAGTTTCAGAATACCACATACGTGGAAGAGAAGTTGTTTGAATAGGATTTTGACCAACACTGTGAAGTTGTTAGGTAATCCAGGCTATTTCAAACGTCACAGTGAATGGGGAATTTATACAGGGCTTGAGTCTCTGACCAACATTTGAAAATACATTTCTTATACAAATGATTAAAATAATTTATTGAAATTAATGATTCAATTGTTCAATGCCAATAAACAGCTGAGTGCCCAATGGAAGCATTGCAAGTATTAAGATTTGAAGGAGTACTTTGGTGCTCACAAATGGATTGCTGTATAGACTGAAGAATTGTCAGCTGGTAAACAAAGCAAAAATAGTGGTACAAATCAAATCCATCAACATTGCATTTCTCTAAAACAGGTGCAAGTATAGGAAAGGTACATAGTTTGAAAGTATCATTCATGTCACATGAATGTAACCATGCAACAGGTGAGGTCAGGGCTGTGCAAATTAATGACAAGAAGCGCCATGATTAAAAAATAATCAAAACACACTATATTAAAAGCTCGCTGCTGTTCATCAATAATACCAAAATTTAGACACATTTATGGATTTCTGTTGTTACAAAGTTGTGTAGAGTAATTGTGAATTGGAAGGCAGGCAGCGAGAATTTGTTTGTAAAAAGAAATGATAAGGGGGGAAGAGTGCGTAGTCCCTTTAAGAGGTGATGTACTTTTCTAAGTTTGGAGATTTAAATGAAAATGTATCCGTAAGCTGCTGAATAGGTACAGACAGTTCGGAAATTGAAACATGTATCAATTGGCTGTGTGATTGCAAACCTTAGGGTTGTTTTGATGTTTTGGAAACTAACTGGAATCAGTCAATTAATTTAAGCCAAGCACTTAGCGATTGAAAGCCAATTGAATCTGCTCCTATGATGCTGCTTGGCCTGCTGTGTTCATCCAGCCTTGCACCTTGTTGTCTCGGATTCTCCAGCATCTGCAGTTCCTACTATCTCTGAATTTAAATCTGATGGTTTTGACAACCTTGAATCAATGCTGTTGTAAGAAAATTGATATGTCATCAAAGGTATGTAAGGAGAGGGTTTTTGAAAATCAGTGTGACAGCGACCCGCCATCTGAGAAATAAGCATCTAATTCTCACAAGAAATTACCAAACTCTCTAAGAAAGCACCATCTATCCATAAAAGGTACAATGGCACTTCTAACTAAGAGTTCTCACAGAAGACTTCATAGAGAAAACATCCCTGACAGCTGGATCAGTGGAAGAAATGCATTTATGACTTCAAAATAGCAACAGAAAGGCATGTAGACTTTGAGAGACTAAGTTTTAATTTATTTTCTTATTATTTGGGTTTATATAAGTGGGACTTGTGTTTATTGGAACAGCATACCAGTAGAATTTAGTTCAATTAGGGAATAGTTGGTAGTTAAGGTGGAATTTTTTGGGTTTTTTTTCTAATTCTGCTAATTTGTGCACTGTTAGGGTTAAATAAATTGTTACTTGTTACTTACAAAGTGGATATCAGGGAATTTCTTCCATTTAACCGCCCCTTCGCCGTAACAATTTAACAGATTAGATGAGGTAAGCTTCTCTGGGTGTTTCGGGTTTAATTATTACAAGGAGACCTCTACTCTTGCTATAAGAAATCGAGGGCTTGTGTTTCAATTTTAGTTATCAGTGGGCTTCGACCTCCCCTTCCTAACACTATCCTGCTTTACTGATGCATATAAATATATATGTATTAATATCGAGGAAAGAGAACATTTTATTAGCAACAATATTTCTAAGCTTTTGACTTTAAATTGTTAATTTGATACTGCTTTCTCACAAATACAATGGACCTAAAATATTAAAATATCAAAACAAGCAATTTAATTCGCATAAATTATTTCCTTAAATGAAAATGTGAACCTCTTAAAACAATTTCAGCTGTTGGATTTCCTTGGGGAGACATTTAATATCTGGACAGTATGCTGTTATTTACATTTTCAAGCAGTAGTGTAAAATTTTATTCAATTAGCTTTTCAACCTGCTTTTTATGAAATTCATACTTGAGAACACAGTTATACTGGAGTGGAATTTACAACTTCAGTGTAGATGATATCTGTGGCTATCTTTGCTGTTCTGTTCCTCAGTCTCTGGACATAAAGGTTCAACATTCAATTCTTCAATAATTTAACTTTTGTTTTTAAAGTAATTGTACAGCTGCTGTGGAACTTTGATAAAACACTATCTTACACATTCACAATTTATGAACTGTTTGCTTTTGTTTTGTAATCTCTTGAGTTGCCATTTAGCCACCTGATGATTTCATCCACTTAGCAAACTTGTTCTGAGATGTCTCTGCTTTGTTCTTGAACTATTGCACTACTTTCTTTTAGGCTTCTCCATCTGGATGTCTTCCAGCAAAGGTACTATGCTTTTGAGTGAAATGCCTCTTAAGATTTGATTTCTTGGTGTTGGCTAATTTCTTATTGCAAATGAGAAACACAGGGAGACTGGCCAGATTTGGAATGAATGCGAATGAATCAGTCCATTCATCTTGAAAATCTGAATTTTCCTCTTCAATTCTTCTCTCCTTTGAAGCCATTTCCAAAGCAGACTCAAAACAAGGACGGGGTAAGTTTGTCCCCTTTCAGTGATTATGTGCCTGCTTGCACACAAGGCACGTGCTTACCAACACAGACCCAGCATCAGGGCCAGAGTGAGACTGCTCTTTTATTGATTAATGTGCTTCCCTGCACGTGTTCACCAGCACAGCATCAGGACTATCAAAAGCATTTCTGTTACAATTGACTAATCAGCTTCTATTTGTTGTCATTCGACCAATGACAGTTTTATTCCAGTTTTAATGATCAATCAGAATGCACCATTGTAGATGTGCTTTTTAAACAGATCAACCAGGGTTAGAGTGAGTGTGATGTGTTATTGATTATTGAGTCTGTTTGTAGGTGACCCATATGATTCGATGGTGGTCAACAATGTACAAAAGCCTTTTGTGGTGCAGTGGTAATGACCCTATCTCTCAGCCAGCAGGTCTGCGTTCAAGTCATACCTGAACTATGTCATAACTTCTTTGAACAGGTTGATTGGAAACTATCCAATAGTGCACAGTCTCATTTTCCCTGGCAAAACATTCGACAAACAAGAATGTTTAGATAACTGATTTTTTAAATGTGTTTCTGAACTGGGAGTACATTGGAGAACTATTCTCTGAAAATGTTTTCAGTAAATGTTTGAAAGATGTGTCCCTTTGTGAACTAGAGTCATAAAGTTGTACAGCACGGATACAGACCATTTGGCCCATATTCCTCGAAACCCTTCCAATTCATGTACACATCTAGATGACTTTTAAGTGTTGTAATTGTACCAACCTCCACCATTTCCTCTGGCAGCTCATTCCATACATGCACCACCCTCTGCATGAAAAAGCTGCCCCTTAGGTTCCTTTTATATCTTTCCCCTCTCACCTTAAACTTAACCTTTCTAGTTTTGGACTCCCGTACCCTGGGAATAAGACCTTGGCTATTCACCCTATCCATGCCTCTCATGAGTTTATAAACCTCCATAAGGTCATTCCTCAGCCTCCGCTGCTCCAGAGAAAATAGCCCCAGCGTATTACGGAAGCCACACATTGGATTCCAGGGTCTCACAAGCTGCCAAGTCCTACATTAGGTTAAACAACTCATAAATGTGAGCCTGACTAAGACACAATAGGCAAAATGTTATGTCTTAAGACTAAATGTGGAGATTGGCCTAAAAAACCAGACGTACTTCTGCTCAGTGGTGAGGCAGATTTTCTCATGCAGTTACATTCTTTTAAGTTCTTTACATATTCAGTATAGGTAAGGAGCCAAATTTTTGTGAACGGAAGTTCTGGCTCCTGTTGGGACCTTCCAGGCATTCTGGTTAAAAGGCAACCAGACAGCATCACTCTCCACAAATTAGCTCATCTCCCCACCTCTGCTCATCACCCCTACTCATCCCTGAAAATTCCTGAAATATGCCTGAAGAATGTCCCATACTTCAGTGATACCTGTCTAAGGCTGCTTCTGCAGGGTGTCTGTGAGAGAAAGCTTGTTTTGTTTTGTACAGTGGCAACAAAAGGCCAACCCA